GATTATATTAGAACAAGAAATGTCATTTTCTATTGTTTTTTGCAAGGGAAAGCGGATTACAACAAAACAACCGGATCCTGTACACACCCTCTTTTCTGAGGCTTCCTCACGAAAATGATGAAAATGCAGCTGCGGCCTAGGCGGCGCAGGGGGGGCGCGCACCAGGGGGCCCAACAATAATTATTCTTTAGAATAAATAATGTTCAACAACAACAACAACAACAACAATTACTAGCACGTGGGGGCACTCCGTTCTCACCAGTGCCAGGGTTTTCATACGACGCCCTCCAATACCCCCACTTTGTGGGGGGGCCGGTTCAAGCTCTACACCACATTTCCAAACGACTCTTCGCCACCACCCACACCCAGCTTCCCGCCCTATGACGTTCGGACACTTCACTTCGTGGCCTGCGGACGACCGTGGCTACTACACTGGCGCATGGGTACAGTGACTTGTTGTGGTAACATTTTCTGGACGCTAGCTTAGTATACGACTTTTCCCCCTGTTCCAACACTGGACACCTGTACTGGTTTTTGGTGGTAACGTGTTCCTGACGCTAGAATAGGAAACCACGGTAAACCAGTACGACGCCGGTACTGTCTGTAGGTCCTACAATGATATGGACTGCTTTGGCTGGTGAGGCGCTAGCGTCTGATACGACGTTTTTCCGTTTGACAAGACCGCAAATCCGCGGTTTCCTACAAATCCGCAAGAGCGCGCGGGATGAAATGTTGACACTTTTTTTTGAAAAAAAACCATTGGTTTTTTATGTTTTTATGTTAAATCGTTACGAACACTAGGGTTTTGGAAGGATTTCGTCTTGCGCGCGCGAATGTCCACTTTACCTTATTGTTTGCAAGGGATTCTTGAAGTTTGGTTATGTTAGAACAAGAAATGTCCACTTTGCCTTTTTTTGTGCAAGGGAAAACCGCCCGTAACAAAACAACCGGATCCGGACCAACCCGTTTTGCCGGAGACTTCCTCACGAAAATGATGAAAACATGGCTGCGGCCTAGGCGCGGCGAGGGGGCCGTGCACCAGGGGCCCCAACAATAATTATTCTTTAGAAGTAATAATGTTCAACAACAGCAACAACAACAACAACACCAACCATTACGATGATACTAAGACAGTAGCCAGCAACAAAAAAAACTGAACTCGCGCATGGAGGATGGACAAACGCAACGTACATCACCTCAGAATGCCGGCGGCGTGGCGAGCGATCTGCACGAACGGGATGAAGTCTCGGCGGCCCTCACTGACCTCCTGGCCTCATTTGATCGGGTCGCGTCGGTCTCGAGTGCTTCGGCTGATCTCGGAAGACCCGCCATCTGATCCCGCGCCCGTCGCGCGCGATCGCCATCGAGGCTCGGCCCCCCGCAAAGAGGGGGCCCCATGCATCCCACTTCGGGCGCGGCGCGGGGGCTTTGAGAAACGCCGCCATGGCTCGGCTCGTCCTCGGCAATTGGGGGAACTACTCCACTCGAGGGACCTCGCCCCCCATCAGCGGCTGCGCCGAGCGCGAAAGCCTCTCTGGCCGCCTTGGCCCACGCCGCCTCGCGGCCGTCGCTGAATCGACCCCGATCGATTCAGCGACAGGGGTCGATTCGACCCCCGTCGATCCAGAGGCTCTCGGGCCCCTCGCCAGTCAGAGCATGAAACCGGTTCTTCCCCCAAACAATCGGACGGCATCAGCCGAGAAGCCTGGGGGCAGGGGGTCGCGAGCGCCGGCTGCGCCCACCCCCCGGGCGCCAATCGCGCCGCCGCCGGGATTGGCGGACAGGGGCGGCCCAGAAGTCCCGCGAAAGGAGAAGATGCAGGCCGCGCCGGGCGCCGCGTTCGAAGCCCTCACATCGCTCCCCACGACGACGAGACCGGGGGCGAGGGGATGCCCCTCGACCCAGTAGCAGTCGCGGCGGTCGTCGCGGAGCCCCGGCCCTGATGGCCGGGGGCCAGCCCCCCCCCCCCGAGCCGCTCGAACTGCCGCAATTCCGGCCGCGTCCACTCAGGCTCGGACCGCAGGCGTTCACGCGCGTCGCCATGGCCTTCACTGCCAGACGCTCATGGTGAGTAGCTGGACGATCGCCAGCTGCATCTGTCTGACACCCCGACGCAGGCCTGCCGCGCCGCCCTGGTTCGCATCGATCGCCCCACCGAAGTCCTCGAAGGAACCGATCACCCTCCCGACGCGAGTGGCCCCCTGACATATCTGCTGAAGCCCCTCCTCGACATGTCCCCCAAAACCACTTGAGACGACGCGGCGTTATCGACCGCGCGCCCCACCGCCGCCTGGGCGCCCCGCGTCGTCTTCAGCCCCCCTGGGAACTCCTGAAGCTGCCACTGGAGGCCTGGAGCATCCCGCTGAACCCGCCCCAGGAGTTGAGGGCTGCTGCTCCTCCGACGACTACCCCGCCTCGCTGAACGGCCCCCACCGCCCGCTGATCTGCGTCCGCAGCCCTCCCGGCCGCTGCCGCCGCCGACCCCGGCCCCCCCTGCGCCGTTGGAACCCCTGGCCCGCTGGGCCCCACGCGAGACGAGCGCCGCGCATCAAAAAATTCGAGCCCGGGCCAACTCATTACCGTAGAGACGAACGCGCTCGCCCGGGCGGTTGCAGCTGGGCAGCGGGAGCCGCTTGCACGACGGCCGCTGCCCCTCGGGGGTCTGACCCCTGACTCAGGACGAGGCCATGCCCGAGGGTCTCTGGCCACGGTGGAGGCCCCCGCGGCACCGCGGGTGCTGGTCCTGATCCCATGGCCACGTCCGCCGCCGCCTGAGGCGCCGCCAACCTGAGCGGCCGCCACCTTCGGCATCGGCGCCACTGCATGCTCGGCAACAGTCGGCAGCCCTCCACCGGCCACCAACGACCACCCCCCGACGATCGCGCCGTCGGGGTTGGCGCGCTGAGACTCGGGATCGGGCTCCTGAAGCGCTGGCTTGAGCCCAGAGCTGTGGGAGCAGCTCCTCGGTCGTCCCCTGAGCCACTGGCTACTGGCGGGGGGAAGCCTTCTTGGGTCTGACCGCATCGCGATCGCCCCGAAGATCCTCGCCATCTGACATCGGAACGCCCTGTCCGGCGAGCTGTCGAGACTGCGATGCGAACGAGCGTCGGCTGTGACAAAACAAGCTCGGGACCAGAAAAGCAACGGAAAGAACGAACGATGCAAGACCCTCTAATGCCGTCAGCCCCCTTCTCCCTCTTCGCAGAGTCGGCCTTTCGGGCGGCCCCCACTGCGGGTCACCCACCCGTTCACTGGGCGCTAGCTGAGGCCGAGACACGAGCATACGCGAGCCCTGACAGGCCCCTTCCGAAAATCCGATTCGCCTTCTGGATCACGTTTGACACCCCCCCCCCCCCACTCGCGATACCCGCGCGAGACTTCGCATCCCCAAGAACCCACGAGAGTTCAATGAGGCCCACGGCGACGACAGAGAAACAAAGGGAAGCGAGGACGCAACTCTGCAGGGCACCAGCGTCTGACATGAACTGCGGCTACCCGCCCGGGCGTCAGAATGAAAAAAAGGGTTCCAACGCTGGGCCGAGCACTGCAGGTGGCCGCTCGAGCCCGAACCACGCCGGCCGTCAGGCGGCGCGACCCCAACGCGCAAAGGTCGACAGTCTCGCGGAATGCCGGGCCGCAGCGGACAGTTGGGACAATTGATCACGCACGCCGGAAATCCAGCGGATTGACGCTCAACATGCACGGGACATTGTCGGCGAGCACGATAGCCCCTACGAGACCGCGCACGCCGCCCAGGCAATGGAGGAAAATTTAGCCTGGCGAAGGACCAACCACATGCAGTTGTGGATGCCGTCGTCGTTAGCATCGCCGTCGACGGTTCTCCTTTGGGGGCCACGAAGCGCGCGAAGAGCGCGCCGAAATGAGGCGGGGCCACCACGCGGGCGCCGCCACTGGGGCCCGATGCAGAGCCCCCCCCCTTATGGCGCCACAAAACGCGTGAGGGACGTGCCGAAGTGAGGCGGGGGCGCCATGCCGACGCTGCCACTGAGGCCTTCGGTGGAACCCATGCGGGGCCGCGAAACGCGCGAGGGGCGTGCCAAAATGAGACGGCGCCGCCACGCCGCTGGGACCGTGGGCGGAGCTCCGCATGGGGCCACGAAACGCGCGAGGGGCGTGCCAAAATGGAGGCGCCTCCACGCGGACTGCGCCGCCGGGAGCCTATGGGGCCGCGAAGCGCGCGAGGGCGCGCCAAGATGGAACGGCGCCGCCACGCGGAGCGCGCCGCCGAGACCTCAGGCGGGGCTCTCTACGCGGCCACGAAACGCATCAGGGGGCGCCAAAATCGGGCGGCGCCGCCATGCGGACCGCGCCTCTGGGACCTCAGGTGGAGCCCCCTATAGGGCCACGAACCGCGCGAGGGCATGCCAAAATGAAGCGGGGCCGCCATGCGGACTGCGCCGCTGGGACATCAGGCGCGGCCCCCATTACGGGGCCACGAAACGTGCGAGGGGCGCGCCGAGATGGAACGGCGCCGCCGCGCGGAGCGCGCCGCCGAGACCTCAGGCGGGGCTCTCTACGCGGCCACGAAACGCGTCAGGGGGCGCCAAAATGTGGCGGCGCCGCCATGCGGACGGCGCCTTTGAGACCTCAGGTGGGGGCCCCTTATGGGGCCACGAAACGTGCGAGGGGCATGCCAAAATCGCCATGCGGACTGCGCCGCTGGGACATCAGGCGGGCCCCCTACGGGGCCACGAAACGTGCGAGGGGCGCGCCGAGATCGAGCGGCGCCGCCATGCGGACTGCGTCGCCGGGGACCTTGGGCGGAGCTGCCCACGGGGCCGCGAAGCGCGTGAGAGGCGCGCTGAGACGGGCGACGGCGATGACGATGATGGCGATGATGATGAGAGGAAGAGGGAAGGGGCAGCGGGAGGAAGAGGAACGCGGGGCGCCGTCTCAACCGAACACCCAACACCACAGGATGGCCAGGGAAATAATGTCGACAACTCGAGCCGGCCCGCGCGCGCCGCTGGCCGAGCGAGGGCGGCGAAAGCCTGCTGGAGCTCAGACGCGCTGCACGCCAGCTCCGCCATTGCCCGAGACTCTCGGTCGAGAGCCTGGAGGCCGACAAGATCACTGCCCGCCCCTGGATCAACAAGTGCCCGACGGGCCCAGAACGAGAACATCGCGCCCTCGGCGGCGATCTCTCCCTCTACCTCGTCCTGGGTAGGTCGCGAGCCCCTCGTCGACGCGCGTTGCTCGCTGGCCTGGCCGATCGCGAAGCCGTCAACTGCGACCTTGCCAGCGCCAGACGCTCGGCCGCTCGACGATTGCTTTTTCGGGCACTCTCGGCCCCAGGGCCCATTCTGGCCGCGCGCGCGGCACTTTGGCGATCTCAAACTGACGCTCGACGGTCACCCTCGGCCTCAAGGCCTCGCCCCCCGCAGCGCCCCCCGCGCACCCATCGCCCCGGCCCCCCCCGCTCGGCCGAGGGCGGGGGGGCACACTTGCGTGAAGCCTTAGAACTATCGGCCCCTCTTGGCTGCTCGCCCCGGGCCCTTGCCCCCCGCCGAAGCGCGGCTCGCTGGCCCAGGAGCGATCACGGCGATAGCGCCCCCCGCCTGATCCTCGAACGCGTCAAGGTCCTCGTCGTCGCGGCATGAGTCGCAACACCCCTCGGAAGCCCAACCACCTCTGGACCGAACCTGGCCCCAGGATGGAAGGGGGAGATGCCAGCGTCGACGCTTGCCAGCCGCGCAAGGACCCCCATCGTAAGCGACGGCGGCAAGTATCGATCCGACACCAGGCCTACGTGGCATGAGCCTGTTAGAATCCGCTGCGTCTATCTGTTCCCAAGCCGATGCCACGCCCACGCGGCCGTGAGCGAGCGCGCGCTGATTCGGCGCCCCTTGAAACGCGAAGCCAGCGCCCTCCTCTAGCAGAAGGCCCTCGAGCGTGGATGACAGTCACAAGTCGTTGCCCTCTGCCTCTGACAACTGCGCCTCTCGGTGGCCCACGGAATACCTCATCGAATACGGTTTTTTCGCCAGCCCGTCTCAGGCCGTCGCCCCCACGCCCCCCTTATCATCATGCCCATCCTGGACAAAACATGGTCGATCCACTCACGGCTACTAGAAATGGAATCTGGGGCTGTGTCGAATCTTGTCTGCATATTCCAATCAAAAAGTTTCAGCATATGTTCGGTTCTCCTCCAAATCGACACATCCGAATTATGATCCCGTCGTTGGAAAGCGTCTCGAGGTTGTTTGTGGTGTCTCCAACCGGACCAGGCGGGAGGATCTGAATAGTGTCCTCTGGCCCCTCCTCCGCCTGAACACGACTGGTCTTTCCACTCGTGGTTGCCCCAGCCGTGGCCCGACCACCGGCTCCAACTCGGCTCGTCGCACCACAACCAATCATCTTTTTTTCTACTGCTTGCCGTACCTCTTCTGCCGCTGACTGTCGCCCTCGTCGCCTGCTGCTGAATCGCTGGCACCCGCTGCCGCTCGCCAGGGATCGAAGTCTACCGGTTTCTCCTTGGGGGGGGGCTGAAGCTGCCGCTGTAGGAGCTCTCATACGCACTACGCCTTCGACCAACTCCGTGAGCTGCTCTGCTGTCAGCCCGGCGGCTGCAATGCCGGCGGACTGGGAAGCTCCTCCAGGGGAGGCTGCTCTCTCGGCGCCCGTCTGCACTACAACCATGACCAAGTTTTCGTCTGACTTTTCACAATTACCATTAACACCACGCCAATCGGTCCTCCAGGAGCCAGCGCACGCTCAGAATCCGTGGGCGCTCTCGCCAGGCGCCATGGTGCGCTGGGAAGGAAACTCCGATTTGGCACCGCTCCGCAACCAACTGCGGAAGCAGCATCGACACAGAAATGTTGTGGAGTTGAGCCAACACTGGCACGGAAACAGTCACACTCGCCATGCCTGACAGAAAGTCTCGGGAAGAAGTAACTGGGGGGGGCGGCTTATTGCAACATCGTTGATGCACCTCGGTTGCACTGGTCCCTCAGTCTCCCCCAATGATCGAGCAGGCGACGCTGGAAGGTCAAGCGAGGGCGCGGGAGGGCGTGCGCGGCGCAGATGACATGGAGCCTGCTGGGAGGTGCCGGTGCTGGCGGGCTTGGTCTGCGGGGTGAGCGGGCAGCTGTTGTCGGGGGGTTGCAGGGAAAGGGAACGGTGGCCACGACCAAAACTAAGCTCGAAAGCGTGGGTCGTCATCTTTGTCATCATCTATCCTTCATGACCTTGGTCATCTTGAGCATGGCCATGACCAGACTGATTGCGGAACGTCCGAGTGGTCACGGTCCACTTTGGTCATCGTCTATCCGCAAATCGTCCTCGCGAATTGGCGACGGCTGGCATGGACCATGACCCAGATCGGCGTCGGCAGGACCCCGCGACACCTGGGTCGTGGGCATCGCGTTGCTTCCCCCGATGGTTGCCTGCGCCAGCACGCCGAGGCGGACTGCCCCCAGGGGCATCGCTGGCGGAGCCCCACGGTCGAGGCAAAGCGGACAAGGTCGGCAGCGAGATGTGCGGGAAGCTCGTCGGGGTGGCCGAGTCGCACATCGCAACTCGGCAACACGCAGGAGTGGCTCCAGGCAAGAGGCACCTTTGTTGCGCAGTTGTTTGTGATGGCGCGCGGGACAAAACCGAAGCGACCAAGCCGCTGCTATCGTATCGCGCAGGCAGCGATCGGCGAATCCACGTGGGCCCGCACTAAAGGTCGCACTAAAGGTCACTTCGGCGAAAGGTCACTCTTCGTGTAATCGACTAGCTCTGAATGTCGTCATATTATTCACCGGAGGGGCCAAAGAGCCAGACGCGTGCGGCGTCCAGCGCGAACGGCAGCAGATGATCGCTCCGCAACGCAGGCGGGTGGGCGCGCGGACAAGGACCTCCATGCCAGATACGGCCCCATCGTTTTCAGCACTGTGAACATCAGGCAAATTCTGCGGCAACCCATGGGAGACCAGCACGCCGTCTGAAACGTCAAAAAAAACACCAAGACGCTCCCCTGACGGTCCCAGGGGGCCACGAGTCGCCTACAGATCGCCCCTGGACGCCCACGATGACCTCCAGGCGGCCCCCGACGCTGCCAAGACGCCCCAAAAGGCCCCCAAGATGCGCCCCAAGAGGGCCCCAAGAAACAAAGATCGGCCCATCCTGTTCGAAAAAACCAGCATGTTTCGCAAGCTCGCCAATTCGGCTTTCACAACGTCCACAACGGGCAAAGAAACATTCAATATCGCCCCCAGGCGGCCAAAAGGAGCCCCCAACACGGGCCGAAGAGGGTCCAACAACAGCCCACGAAGGCCCCAAGACAGCCCGAAAGGGCCCCCCAGATGGCTACAAGACAGAGTCCAGAGGGCACCTTTTTTCCAGCCTTCGGCCCCAAGACGCCCCCAGCCTGCCCCAAGAACACCCCAAAGGCCGTGGGGGACCTCCAAGAAAACCTCACAGGCTTCCAAGAAGCTCCAATAAAGTCCCCAAGAAGCCCCAAAACTACGACCCCGTCAGGCCTCCCACGGGACCCCATCAACCATCCGTGTGGCCGCATACCCTCAACCCAAGCAAAGTGGCGGGATGCGCCGCGTGAGAACCACTCGTCTGGTTTTTGGACCGACGCCTGCCGTCTATGAGCGCGGGTCTTCGCAAGTATTTTCCCATGTTTGTACGGCAAACACTTCGAAAATCAGCCACGCACTGACCACGCAGCATCCATCCACCATCTGACATTGTCCCCGCCTTCAGGGCGCTCCGAAGAGACCCCGCGAAGCACCCCTGAGATTATGACCCCCTACCAAGCCTGTCTGGACCGACGGCCATGACACATTACACGGTCCAGACACCTGTACAGGGTCTGGAAATCCAACATGACGCACACGCTGTCCCAAGTGTCGGACATCTTCCCGAAAGGCCACCAGAGACAGGAGTACATGCCTCCAAACCAAATCGTCACTCCTCCTTCTCCTCCTCCGACCCCCCTAATCCACCCCCCAGGGACCCCAAACCGGCAAATTGACCCCCACCCCCAGGCCGAGCCCGACCCCAGACCGAACGCGCCACGGGTGAGCGGAGGGCCCCAAAACTGCCCAAGAAGGCATCAAAACGCTCCCCTGACGGTCCCAGGGGGCCACGAGTCGCCTACATATCGCCCCTGGACGCCCACGATGACCTCCAGGCGGCCCCCGACGCTGCCAAGACGCCCCAAAAGGCCCCCAAGATGCGCCCCAAGAGGGCCCCAAGAAACAAAGATCGGCCCATCCTGTTCGAAAAAACAACTGTTTCGCACGCTCGCCAATTCGGCTTTCACAACGTCCACAACGGGCAAAGAAACCTTCGCCCCCAGGCGGCCAAAAGGAGCCCCCAACACGGGTCGAAGAGGGTCCAACAACAGCCCACGAAGGCCCCAAGACAGCCCAAGAGGGCCCCCAGACGGTTCCAAGACGGAGTTCAGAGGGCACCTCTTCGAGCCTTCGGCCCCAAGACGCCCCCAGTCTGCCCCAAGAACAGCCCAAGAGGCCTGAGGGACCCCCAAGAGAACCTCAAAGGCCTCCAAGAAGCCCCCGGGAAGCCCCCAAGAGGCCCGAAAACTTGGCCCAAGATACCTCGAGGCGGCCGGATATGGCCTGCAGACAGGCCAAGATGTCACCGAAAGGCCACAAAAGAGCACCAAGAAGTACGATAACAGCAACGAAGCAACAGGAAAGATGTCGAGCGCCGCGTCATGATTCGGACAAGCCTCGTGAAATGCAGTCCTGGAGGCGCAATAGTTTGTATAGGGGTCGGCGGATGTGGCGTAAGACTATAGAATCGAATCTAAGTCGGCTTAATTTCGATGCGAATCGACGCTAGATCGGCGTTTCTCATCGATTACCAGAAGCTAGCGCATGCTAGTGCTCTCCCTAAACGGAATTGCGAGGACATACGAGGCTCGGCTGAGTTGCTGCCGAAGCAGCAAGCTGTGCAGGAAGCTCGTGAGGGTGGGCGAGTCGCACATCGCAGCTCTGCGTGCCGACATATTCTGCACGGGACCGGCCGAGGAGCTGGACGCGCCCCGCTTCCAGCGCGGCGGGTAGCAGACGATCACCCCATATCACGGCCGGACGGGCGCGCGGGCGAGGCCTCCATGGCAGAGACGGCACCACCGCATGCAGCATGGTGAAAATCGGGCAAGGGCTGAGCAGTGCCCTAATCAGAGAACAACTAGTGCCATAA